AATCTTCTTTAATCGTACGTTTATATTTTTAAAATCCGTATTAGATGTTTGTTTCAATTGTATAATTGTCATTGTCTCTCTTTTTCATTTTAGACTTTAGTTGCTCTATTTAGGATTTTAACAGGGTTTGTTAGATCATTTAATTAAGTGTATATTAGATTGTTAAATTTTGAGAGAATCTGATTGTGAAGCATTTTTTGAGGATATTAAAGTTTTTTACTCGAGAAATGGTTGATGTTCCAAACATATATAATTTTTATAAGGTTGATCGTTCTCGTGGACATACCACAATTGAACATCATTACCACTTTGACATCTTTACTGAAACAATTGATTTCATTTTGATGGGGTTAAATATATGGTTTAATAATACCTCTATCGAACTCATTTCTCTTATTGTGGCTTTAGATCATAAAGATTCTTTTTAATCATTTAGTAGTGATGATATTTGCAAGTTGCAAGAAAGTTCTATTCAGAGGATTTTACAGCTCAACATATATTGTTACTTTGGAATATGAGTTGATTCATTATAAGCATGATGTGTTTAAGAATTTTGAAGCATCTACTCTCGTTGATTTATGGCAGAAATTGACAAAAAGTTGTAGATCAAAGGTGTATGTTATGTCAATTTGATTGATCCATTTAGTTCTGACGTTACCAGTTTCTAATTATGCAAAACGAGCTTTTTCAATCATGAGGCATGTGAAGTCAACATTTCGTAATAAGACTGGGATGATTTCTCGAAGCTTGTTTAGTTCTCTTCATCGAACGGGAATTTGTTAGTAATTTAAATAAAGATTCTATTATTGATGAATTTTACTCTATAAAATCTCATCTAGCACAACTTTGGTGCTATTTAAAGAAAAAATATTATATTATTTTTATGAATTGAGTTTTCATATTTCTAGTTCAGTCTACTCATAATCTCTGGATTCGTCCCCGACCGGTCGTACCCTCAAAGTTGATCTCAAATAGGGTTCGTTTTTCTTCTCAATTTGACATTCAAAATAATTTTGGTATAACTTTGTTGTTTTCTATCTAGGAGTCATTTTGGTGTCTTCTGACATCACTTTTAGTGGCCCATTGCTGGATTTTTCTCATCAGCGCGATCGTAACCATAATTTTGTAGTTCAATTAAATTTCATTCGCTTACTCAACTATGTGTCGTCCGAAATAATTTGAGCTATTTTATTTTCTGCCTAATTATGTGATCTACTGTGAATTCAAGACAATTATATACCCAAAATTTCAGACCAACTAGAGTTCATTTGCGCAATCAATTGTTTGAACAATGTTATATTCATAAACTATATATTCGGCCAGTGTTTGGCCCATGATGAGCCCCCTCCGAGCCTGTGATAAATTTACATAATTTGGCCTTTATCCTGATAATAATAATGTATCTTAATTGATTAATTTTTTTTTTTATTAATATACTCAATTTAATGTCCCTGAAAAAGGTGGATCTTTAATCAAATCCCACAAAGAGAGTATCGTTATTAATTTACTCACAATTATTGTGTGTGGGAACAATAAATAACAACTACTTCTATACAGACATTAATTATACATACCTTGCATGTTGAAACAAATGTCAACAGCACATCTTGTCGGAGTTGCGTGACATTGAATCGTGATCGGTGTATCTTATTATCCTCTATTGATTTTTAATTTGCCTTAATTTAGATTAGTCGAGAAATTTTTTATAATTTTTATAGAGTAAGAAAACATAGTAGAATTATTAGTTGATGTACAATTTTACATTTATACAAGTTGCGTCATTCCTTTGTTAACCCGATTTGATCAAATCCCGTATCTTTAATCAAATCCCGTATATTTTTTTTTTAAACAAACATAAAGCGATGTTTTCGTTTTAAGTATTACATATTTGCAGAGTATTTCAACCAGGTAACTTTGTATTCAGTCAAACACGGTCAACTCAGCCTTAACTCGGTTGTCCCTGGCATCGACCCGACTGAATCAACCCGATTTGATCTACACCTTTTTTGTATTCTATAAAAACAAAATATGTATAAATAATTTTATGGTAAATATTTATTGTAAGATGAACTATTTCAACGGGGAAACTGGAAGTTTTCAGATTGAAATGAAATTCGATTCTAAAGTTGGCTCGATTACATTAAGATGTGACACTGAACCTCATCCCCTCTGTCAAGCATTCCAACGGAAATTTCAATGAAAGTATTCCGTTGGAATGTATTTTTCATTGGAATTTTAGATGGAATTTTATGATTCTAACGGCTATATTTCCAATGGCTTTTCACCGTAGAAATTTCCGTTGGAATTTTTATTTTCACCTCAGTTGAAAAATCTACCGTTGGAATCGTCAAAATCCAACGAAAATTCCAATAGAAAACTCATTCCAACAGAATATTTTTTGTAGGAATTTCTGTTGGAATAATTCTAATGGAAATAATAACATTGAAATATCCATTGGAATTGCCGTTGGAATTCTATTGGAATATATTTTCGTTGGAATTTCATCATTTCTTGTAGTGTATGCATATTTCGTAAAAAAATATATTACAATTTATATATAAAAATTGCTCTCGTGTACGACTTGCTCTTCTTAATTTTATTAATTAATTATTTAATACATAACATATAATGCCCATTGAATGATTATTTTATTTTATGGCTAAAGAATTTTTGATTTTTCAATTAATACAGATAGATAATTCAATTTCTATTACCAATATAAATTTATTTTTTATTTGTTATATGAAATGAATGTTAAATCAAAACTTACTAAGAGATGATAGTTTGAAATATCAAATATTAAAAACTGATAGTACATACGAAAATATATGTTTTTAAAATATACTTATAATTCAAATTAGGGAATCGTTTTATAAATTTAAATTTCTAATAGACATGCATGTAAGTCCAGAAATTTATACGGACTACGCCGATGCTATATAATTGAGACATAGAATTCAGAAGATAGAAGAAAAGATTACAATAGTGTCAAGATTGGAGCATAATATAGTTGCTAGGTTTGGAGCGGGAAAAATTTAAAACTAGTCCCACAAGTTGAGGGAGTGCCATTTTTGGATCCGCAAGAAAGCGATTATCACAAATAGTCCCACAACTTTTAAAAAATAATTAAAAATAAGACTTTTGATGCTATTTCGGTCTGAAAAGCCCGATAAGCCATGTGGCGCATATGTGGCGTTTTTCTTGACATGCTGGCAACCTTTATCACATGTGGCATGGCAGAAAAACCTTTATACAAATTATTATATATATATATATATATTAATTAATATAAATATATTATTAAGTAAATCTAAGACAAGATGATGAATATATATAATTATTTATTATAACTAATTATAAACAATTTTTATTATGAATAAGGATACATTATACATTAAAATAAATTTAGAAAATATTTGTAGTTGCTTTTATTTTGTGATGTGTTATTTTTAATAGGTATTCTTTTAGCTTCTTTATAATATTAAAATGTTATAAAATTACAAAATAGTTTTATTCATGAAGTCTTAATTAAATATTTATAAAATTACAAACAAAAATTTAGAAATGTGAATATTTGATAATATATTTCAACAATTGCACAATGCTTCAAAAAAATTTTCATAACATTATTATTTTTAACACTATTCGGAGTTATGGATGCTGATTCTCGACTCGTGACTTTTGTGCACAGTGCACTCAAGAATAAGATATTTACATGTACAAGTAAATAAACAATTTAATTATTTTTTATTTTTTGGTTTGCTCTTTCCATTTTTTATGACCACAAATAATTTTAGAAACCTCATATTATATGAACTTGATATCTATATTTTCTTAATTAATTCTTTTCAATAAGCAACTTACTTAAAAAAATGAATATTTGATTAAATTTTCAAGCATTGCCAAGTTTTTGAATTGATTTATTATCGAATATTCACATTTAAAATATAACATTTTTTTGATATTTTTTTATTATTTAATAAAAGTATAGTGAAAACATTAACTATAATATTAAATTGTTATAAAATTATAAAAGTAGTTTTATTTATGACATATTTTTTTGGTAATTTTATAATTATATTTAATATTTTTATTCATGACATATTTTTGTTGGTAATTTTATAGCTATTAATAAAAAATATAGTAATTGTTTATGTAATTTTATAATTATTTAATTAAAAATATTTATAAGAAATTTACTATAAAATTAAATTATCAAATTACAAAAACCGTTTTGTTCAACTTACTAAGTGGCATGTCAGATGGATGGTCACCCAATCTAAGGAGGAGGTCATAAGCGTCTATCCTATAAAATCAATTTCCGACTAAATGGAAAAAAGACATATATGGTATAATTTATAAAATTATAAAAATAGTTTTATTCATGACATAATTATAGCTAACATTTTTATCATGAAATATTTTTTTTTTGTAATTTATAATTATTTAATAAAATATATAGTAATTATTAAAAATAAATTACTTTAAAATTAATTATTATAAAATTACAAAAATAGTTTTATTCATAACGTAATTATAGTTAACACTTTTTTACTATATTTTTCATTAAATAATAATAAAATAATAAAATAAATTATGTCATGAATTAAAAATTTAACTATAATTATTTGATTAATTAAAATATTTTTTTGTAATTTTATAATAATTTAATATTAAAAAAAAGCTAAAAGAATGCCTATTTTATATAATATATTAGAAAATAAAAGTAACTAAAAATATTTTCTAATTTTATTTTAATGTATATTGTATCCTTATTCATAATTAGAATTTTTATAAATAGTTAATATAAATAATTATATATATTTATAATGTTGGTCTTAGATTTACTTAATAATATAAAAAATAGAAAAAATTTCAAAACTAATCACACAGGTTTTCTGTCATGCCACATGTGATAAAGGCTGTCAGCATGTCAAGAAAAACGCCACATATGCGCCACATGGCTTATCGGGCCTTTTAGGCCCGAAATTGCACCAAAAGTCATATTTTTTTATTTTTTAAAAGTTGTGGGACTATTTGTGATAATCGCTTTCTTGCGGAACCAAAAATGGCACACCCCTCAAACTGTGGGACTAGTTTTAAATTTTTCCCGATCTGGAACTGATATTTTACGTATAAATCCAAAATATACACTATGAGATGCATCCATTCACTAGTAAAAATTAAAGTTTTCAAAAAATAGTGCAACACTCGAGTCTTTTGTATATAAAATTCGCTACCCCAACACCTTTTAAATAATATATGTCAATTATTATTAAAAAATTTCGTTATGTGAGGATAATTATATTATTCTAATTAGAATTTGATATATAATTTATTTATTAATTTATATAAAATTGCCATAATTACTTTTATAATAGATATATAATATTGGAAAATGCTACAATCCCGTTACGGAACCATTCCGTTGGGATTGTAACCGTTAGATCATCAAGTAACCGTCAATGTTAATTGATCTAACGGTTACAAATCCCAACGGAATGGTTCCGTAACGGGATTGTAGCCTTACCCTATAATATTATTATTTATTAACTTAATATATTATATATAAAATCCTGATAAAAAATATACCAGTTATTAAGATTTATAATATATTTATGATTAAACTGGTAAAGTATTTAATAATTATAAAAATTTTCAAAACTTCAAATATACATGTCCTAGTACTTCAAAGAGCATTAATTAACACATATAACTACGAATTAAGTAGTAATTAGGTTTGAGATAAAAGAGTTCAGGGTTGACTTTCTCTCTACCTATCATCTTAATTTTTCACTCCTTTTGGTTCAGCAAAAAATTAAACCTACAAAAACAGAAATTGATAGTCTCGAGACTGTTCTACAAAAAAATGAATGCCAATATTTAACTTAATGTTACTCTCATAAATTTTTCACAACTGTCCCCCAACTTCAACACCTCCAAAAAATCACCTATTTAAAGTTCCACCACCATACATATACCCATATATACCTTGTAATTCAGANGCTAGCACATGCAACGGCAAGAAATATCCCTCACATATCCACTCAACCACATGAAATAAACCCAAACACCAAAAATCACGCATTTGCCCCTGCCCCCAACACCGAAACGCTCGCCGCCGCGCCGGCGGCGGCCGGCGCCGCCGTGGACGACCAGAAGAACTTTATCTCGTACGGAGGCGTTGGCGGCTGGGGGGGCGTTGGTGGGTATGTAGGCGTGCTCCCTGTATTTGGGGGCGCAGGGGGGACCAGCGGCGCTGGTGGGCTCGGCGGCGCCGGCGGCCTTGGAGGCGCCGGTGGGCTCGGAGGCGCCGGAGGACTGGGCGGCGCCGGCGGGCTCGGCGGCGCTGGTGGAGTTGGTGGCATTGGGCTTGGCAAAGTGGGCGGCTTTGGTATTGGCGGCGGAGTTGGTGGTGTGGCCGGAGTTGGTGGGATCTCACCTTGAATTGGTGCTGATGTTTGTTGTTTGGTTTAATTTTAGGTTTATGTTGTGATTTTTCCGTTCTGTGTTGGTTTTATTGTTTGTTAAGATGTGTTTGATTGTGGGTTTGTTTTAGTGTGATCCGTGCATGCATGCATGCATGCACGTGTTTTGGGTGTACTACTTTTGAAGTCTCTCTTGGTAATGAATGTGAACTTTGTTGGTTTTTGAACGATGTTGATTTTTTTATTGTGTTTTAGTTTTTTTGCACAAGAGCACAAGAGTATGTGAACGAGTGAGTTGTTTTGAGGTTCTGGGATGATTGATGGCGCTATTCAATTACCATATCTAATTAAGATGCCAATGCAGTGTTGCATAAAAAAAAAAACCGTCTCGAGTTTGTCCATGTTCTGCAAAGTTTGCTAGAGTTTGTTATTAATCAGGTGGCCGCCAATCTGTGTTGTCGTAGGGGAAAAAGTGGAATGTAAAAAGGTATAAATAAATCAAATAATGTTAGGCTGTAATTGGATATAGATTAATTAGTTTTGAAACAAATGTCTTAATGGAAATTTTGATGACGTAGCATAAAAAAAATCAGTGAAAAATGAAGCATTTTCATTTAGGATAATGATCAAAAACATTGTTTGGACCCTCAGTCAAAGCATAATCATCAAAAACATTGTTTGGAAACATAAGCCAAATTGTAAAGCAACCATGCACACACATGGGTGTAGCTAGAAATTTTTTTAACCGGGCTGCATATTATTTTAGATATTCTTAAAACCAGTATATATGGTCATGGGTTGGCTCCGCCTTGCCAGTTCGGCCCGCACCGACACAAACCGGCCTGTTGACCATGGGTCTTGAACCGACCCCTGGTTTTGATCACTCTGGTTCATGTTTGCAGTTCCGAACCAAAACCGGGGGTTCGACATTTTTTTAAAAAATATATATTATTTTTTAAATATTTTTTTCTTTAATGAACTGAGCGGCCAAGAACCGACGGTTCAATGAACCTGCTCGTGCATATGTTTAGGATCCTCCAACCCCTCATGACCAGGGACCGGCAGTTTCGACCCAAAATCAGTTTTGACCATGACTATAACCGAATTATTTGTTAACATATTTCGGTTCGACTTGTGAAAACTCAATCTCGACTCGCTTATAGCCAAACTCTAATAGGTAATCAAACTTGTCAATCAAACAAGTAGAGTCAAACATGTCGGCAATCAACTCTGTAAGAGTTTTTTCTTTCTTTAGGAAATGATGCCAAATTAATTATTAAAGGAAAAATCAACAAAAAAACAAACAAAAATGGATAACATAATGTGCAATGGGACGAGCCCAATTAAATTGTCCACAGGAGAAGTGTGTGTCAAACTTAATTATTCGGCTCATTTGGAACTTGTCAAGTCAGTCCATTAATAATTTAAAAGACAAAAATGTGTTGGCCCACATTATAAACCCAATTGATAAGAATCTAATAGGCAAAACTATTTTTTCTTTTGTCGCAACGATATAAATTTTATAAGAGAAAAAACACTTAAATACATCTAGAAAATGGCCCAAAAGTCGAAAGACAACTCAAGAGCCGAATCTAGTGGGAGGACAGATCACAAGGATCGCCTAAAACCTACACTAGAACAAACGCACCATTAACAACAGAAAAAAACTAACAAGCTCCACAACTGAAGAATAAAAGTCCCCTATGGTAGAATACACACTCCCATACGGGAGAAATTACACTCCCCAACAGGAGAAAAACCAAAAACACTAGAAAAGCACAAAAGCACACGAACCCCACAACACAACGCTACATGCCAATTCCTGCAACGCCAAGGGAGTCTTAGAGCATGTTTGTTTACAAGAATTTTTTAAAAATTTCCAAGATTTTAACTCAACCACTTTTTTTAACTCAACTTTAACTCAACCTCACTATCAATATTATCATTATAATTAAATAATATCAATCAATCATTCATACACACCACATCAACCTTAATTCACTATTCATCCACTCACATTATTTTAACTATCACTTCAAATCATCATTCTCCTACTTTACATCAAATCAATTTTAATTATTTTATTTTAAATATTATTTTAATATATCCACTAACACCTAACCATACCACTTTTTTCAAAATTAACCAAACTAAACAAAAAATCCAAACAAAACCAAAAATTTTCATAAACAAACATGCTCTTAAGACCTCCACCCCAAATGACAATCAATAAGGAATCGAGATCACCCGGGGTCAATCGTCCAACACCTTTAGCACTGAAAAAGGGCATGGGCAAACACAAACTAAACAACAACAAACTACATAAAACAAACTAAAAGAGAGTCATCCTCCCGAGAGGCTTGCAACTCCACATGCGCCCCGCCACCAACTGTCGAGAGAGACAACCTACACAGCTGAAGATCAGGGTAAAGCACCGTATCTGAAACTGCAGAAAGCCTAACAAGATCCGACAATCAAACTCGAAAAACTCTCCAAGTCAATCAACCCTCACACTAGCCCGAGGCTAGCCCCCCCCTCCTCAATGGCTAGCAGCCAGAGGCCGACAAACCAGCCAACGACCCAACACCCAACCCCAGGAAAGCCGGGAAAGCAGGTGGAAGCAGAGCACTGGCACAACCCCAAGCACTAAAGACCTCACCAACCACAAGCAGCCCAGGCCGACCAACCACCGAAGTTACGAGCCCCACCAACGGCGCAACCGACCACCTAACCCCAGGGAAGTAAAAGAACATGGGAAAGAAAAGGGACTAACCTCGGCTCGAACCTCCGCCAGGCGGAATTCAGAGCAAAACGACCTGCCCCTCCGTCGAAGGTCGAAACCACCTCGAGCACGAAGAGCCCGCCCGGAGACAAAGACGCGACCCGACGAGACTCCACCCGACTGAGAAGTCCACCACTCAATAGGAGACATGGACGCATAGGACCAGCGGTGATGGCTGCACGGCGACGCGGAGCGCCTCGCCAGGAAAGTGGCCGACGGCGAAAATTTAGTGATGCCGACGAGATTGCATTAGCATATCTCGATATACATGGTCGGCTTCGGGTTTTAGCTTGAATATTATTATATTTATCATCATTATTTATGTTTGTACTATTTTATGTAGTGTGTTGGGCTTGTTTTAGTGTGGGCTTTTAAGTGTTTGTTGGATAGGATATTATATATAACCGTATGAATGTTATTGTCTGGGCAGTTATTATCAGATATGAAATGAAAGTTATCGCGTTCTTCGTGAAACTCTCTGTACACAATCTTCCATCACAGATCCGCTGCATCATTTAGGCTAGGGTTTACTGTGCGCAATTTGGGGAAAACGGGGAAGACGATGTTTTTTACAGTAATTTAGTAGACAAAACTATCATTGGACAATAAAGGATTGTCTTCTTTCTTCTCACTACGATCATCACTTTCCACCATTATTTTTTTTTTTTTGGACATGGGGNCAAGCACAGTTGGCCCATGCTAATTGTTTTGGATATTGGCTTGATCAGTTCAATCCATTTACCCAAATAAACTTTAGAATATTTTGTAAGTCTAAATGTTATTTCTATGCAATGAAAAATAACAAAGGCTGATTAAAATAATATACGACAGTCTCCAATTGATAAACACTTCTAACTTGTACTACTGAATCAACATTTTTTTTTTTTTTTGCCAAGAACACCACAAATTCATCTTTGTTTTGATCATTCAAAATACACCTCTATTATCTTCGAAATCACATTGGGTGAAGTGATAGAATTAATTTGAGAATGAAAATACACCTCTATAACTTTTCTCAATCACTATGGTTTTAAATATAAAAGATCATGTTATGTACTCAGTTTAATTCTTAATTTTTATTATTTATACTCTATCATATCTGAATTAAATGAGTCAGTGATAAATCATTACACATTCTGCTTGAATATGACCGATCCCAATCGAATTGAAAACTCTATGAAAAAATGATTTAATACCAATGAAAAACTAAATTTATAATATTATAACATATCATCATTCATCGCAAATTGGACCATAATCTTCAGACAATGCTTAAAATAAATTCAGAGACATCAACCATCACACTCCTCGTGTAGAAAACTCCCAAAAGTAAGAAAAAAAATATTATAAATCTAAGTCCGAAACTATTTACATTGACACAAAAAATAGCTTATTTTACCCAAAAAGAAAAGAGAAACAAACTCATCACCAAAAATATTTGAACCTAAAACTTTTGAACATGAAGTCTGAGTGGCCTCGGTTGTTAATCGTCTAATGAAAACTTAATAGAGCAGAACAATTGATATTTCAAAACCCATTCATAATCAGTCTGTAGAAAAATAACACAATAAAATATTCTACATATGCTCTACAAATTTCATGAAAAAAAAAAAAAAGAAAAAAGATAGTTATGCAGAACAAACACATGTGTGCTTAAATTCTCGGACTTCAAACAGTGGCTCCACTACTTGTAGCCAGTGTTTTAAATACCGTACCGGTGCCCATATCGGTCTACCCACCGGTACGCAGTATTACCGGTAGGACCGGTAATATCGGTGGTATTACCGGATTAGCAAATATAATAATATATATATTTATATATAAAAATGTATTATACCAAATGCAAAAAATAAAAAAATAAATGACCATAATCATTAATTTTAACTTACCAATGAGATAAAAATAAAATATTCTAACTACCAATTTAAATTTTATGTTTTTTAATTAATAAAAAAAATTATTATTATTTTTTTTTTTATGATCAATATTTTGCACCGGTTTTTTTCGGTATTTACGGTATGACCCCGATACAAACCGGTATAACCGTAAATCTGGTATTCTGTGTACAATTATACCATACCAATGGCCGGTATCCGGTATTACCGGTATTACCGGCCGGTACGGTACGGTATTGAAAACAGTGCTTGTAGCATCAATTCAAAATAGTATGAAATATTACTTACACATTCTATTGTTTACTTTATAAAGCTTAACATTATTTTTAATAGCAAAAGTTGCACATAAGATGTTCTCTAGTTTTCTGTATGTTTCCGCTATTTCTTTTGTATCTTAATGCTAATTGTTCATGTTAGGTAATTGTCTCGGTCAAAATACAAGAGCTTTCAATAAATCTGGTTTATGCCTCTCACTTTTTTTTTTGCTTGGACTTCTGCAATTTAGTTATACCAAAACTTTTTTTTCCCACAAATGATTATCTTCCTCCTTTATGATCTCCTATCCTTGTCTTGAGANTGAAACATGGGTGAATTAATAAATTAATCACTCAATTAACAAAAATTATGAGTTCAACATGGGTGAATTAATCAATTAATCACACACTCAAGAAAAATTATTAGTTAAACGAGATGGTGAGAGAAAAAAAAAATGCATCCAACAACTGAAGGATGAAGCAAAGGGATAAGGTCTATAATGTATATAGGAACATAGACAAGGAGGGAGGAGACACGTTTTAACAATGCAGTTGAATCAATAATATTTGATTGACATTCTACCATATAACTTGGAACAAGCTAAACTTCATTTATCATGTCAAACAGACAGAGTTAAATGCTAAAGAACTGCACCTATTAGGAGGGACTTTGTTCGCAAGATGAAATAGCGGAGCCCATTTTTCAGCAGTCCTCTGTGCAATTTCGGGTGGGGGGGGGAAGCTCAAGGCTCAAAATTTTTCTCCAACTCTAACCTCTCTGTTTCTGAGCTTAAAGAATCTAAACTCTGTTTTTCCGTAACACTATCCGTTCAGGCTATACTTGCTGCATGCGGCTCTTCAGGTCCCACAGTAGCAAGATGAATATGAACTTCTCTAGTTGGAGGATCAAACTGGCCAGCAAACAAATTATGTAAAATATAGACATGAAAGATGTAACCTAGAAATGATGGACCTTGATATATGAACTGTTGGTTTTGATGAATAATCATAGAACTTTGTATAAACCAAATTAAACACATACACAACAGATAATTAAAGATGTGTTAACAAAAAATAATCAGAAATAATGAATAAAAAGGTAATAAATTATTGCCCTCCTGCTTCGAAGAAAGAGAATGGAACTACAAGCATGAAGCAATTGCAATCTGTGTGAGCATAAGAGTAATCTGCAATGTTGGTAAATGAAGTAATCATAAAATTGTTTACAGCGAACATGAATGCTTTCATAAACAAATATTGGAGAATGCGATATTTGCTATCCTGACTAACCTCAGCACTTGTTACAGAGGATTTGGCCTCAAGCGTCCCAACAATTGTTCCTGTTCTCGCGTCCCACAACCTAAAGTCAAGCGGCTCAAGCCATCGGTTCAATAATTCAGATTCAACATTACATAAAACGGACCATGCAACAGAACTGTAAAATTTATGTTTGCAACAAATAGTTCTATCAACATACGCCAGTGGTATTAAACAAATACAATAATGAAGTAGAAATTAAGTTTCATCAAATAAGTCAAACCTAACCCTAAACCATTCTCACAATCAAATTCATTGCATCTTTGTACAACAAAAATTTAACCCTTTGAAAAGAAAATGTGTTTTTAGGCATAAAGGATAAAGCCACTATCCCTCCTCCAAATCCGTCTACCCATTCAAATGACCTCGAAAGAAATCTGCGGCAGTAGTCGATTTTACCTGACGAAGGTGCAAAACGCAGGCAACGACTCCACGCTATTAATGGCTCATTGGCTATTGCATCACTAAAAGTTGTTTTCTTTTCACCGAGCGCGATTTTGAGAAAAAAAAAAANAAAAAGTGCGGCCGAGGAGGGGGAAAGTTTAGAAAATGGGCGAGAAACAGAAACTTCGGGAAAAAAAAAAGTGTAGCCGAAGCCTTTCAAATTATTAGATGTAATTAAGCAGAACATCAAGGACAAAAAAAGTTAATACATATACATAATTGCTACGTGTCAAAAAAATAAGAAACCAATCAAATAAAAAATAATAAAAACTACAGTGCGTTGATCCATTATTTGTGGTATGTAAACTAGTGCATGGTCGGTGCGATGCACGGGAAAACAATATTACGATTGTATTATAAATTAAATATATCAATAACAATATAATTTATCAATTATTTTTAAATTAAATCGGGTTAGACACAGTTCGACCGGATGGACTGAGAACCGGTTTAGAACCAGTCTAGTTCGCTTGAATATAATATTTGCTCTCGAATCCGTCAACACCAGTCGGTTGGACTGGTAGGATCAATATGATTTTCTAAATAAATTTTTGCTATATTTAAAATTATTTTAAATAAAATAGAGATATATAAATTATTTATCAATTAGTTTAAATATTTGAATTTATAAATTGTTTAGATATCTAAGTAACACATTTTATTTAAATTTATTACAAAAAGTACTATATATATATATATATTAAAATGTTTATAAATTAAAATCTGAACAAACCACAAATGATTTAATAAAATAGCTTGATCGTTTCGATGACGGTCCAGTTCTGAAAACCTTATATTTATTGTACATTAATAAATATTATAATAAAATATTATTTAATTCACATAAATATTAATAAAATGATATACAAAAATTTATAAATCATTAAACATGTTGTCATAAAAGTATTGTTAATAAGATTATTTGAAGTTTGGACTACATCACATTCACGTAATAACATATTTTCAATATAAAATTTATATTTAGGTTCAATAATCGATTTAGTGTGGTCGAATTGATGCATAACTTAGTCACCTGGGACCAACCAAATTGTGTCAAGTTTTTTGACTATTTTAAATACCACCTACAAGTAATTCGATCACCCGATTGATCCGAAGAAATTTTTTTATTTTTTTTAAATATATTTAATTTTATGAAATAAAAATAATTTATGATTCATACAATAAATGTCTACACCAAATGATAGTATATTAAGATTATAAATTATATATCTAAAGATGAATTAATTATTTTTACTTTATGCATATTAATAAAAAATAAATATAGTAATTTTTAAAAAATTAAGATTAATTGATTGACTATGCAAATTAAAGAATATTTTTAGCGTTCAATATTTTTTTAACACATAAATATAATGACCGAGATTCTAAAACTTTTGTTATATTTTGAATTGAGATTTTATAAATATAGAGACCGAGATTTTAATGTTGTTTGTTGTTTTTAAGAACAAATTAAAAATATAAACATACACACTTATAAAATATTAGCCGAATTTTTTAAATAATAAAATGAACTAAATCTCGAAATTGAAGGTAACATTTAATGTTGTATGATTTTTAAAGAAAAAAATAAGAAAAGTAATAAAACTTACTATATATAGGCTGCATTAAATTTTGACCTAATTTTTTTGTTACTATTTTTGGTAAATAGTAATTCTTATTATATATATATATATATATATATATAGACTAATGTATAACACACGTTATGAAAAGTTAAAGGCAATCAATCAATTCACATGAATTATATGTGAGATTAATTAAAGGTGAGATAATATCCGTTCATTTATATAATCTAGTGTGAAAAGGACATAAAAAAGGTGTGAAAAGGACATAAAAGTTACCATTTTTAGTAAAAATTTAATGCAGACAGGATCTTGACTAAGAGTTGACCTACTAATTTTGAAAAAGGTTAATTCTTATTATATAAGTATAGATATGTTGAATTGGTTTATGCTGAGTGGTGATGCGTGAGAGCCTAAATAAGAACAAAGACTGATTAGTGGGCTAACATTAATGTAACATATTGTTGGGTTGGATTTAATATATTGAATATGTGTGGGCTGAATCAATTGAGTGAGCTGAGCTGTTTGGACTAATTAATTAAATGAACTGGGCTAAAATACAAAAGGATAAAAATATGTATATAAAATATATGGAATATGGATAATTTTCCTGGGCTATAACCCAGATACAAGCTGTAACTCCGCCCCTGGTGGTCGTAAGTTTGTAAGAAACCAGTTCTCAGTGAATTCTAAATTGATGTTTTGTTGCTTGAAAATTTTGATTTATGATACATGTGATTGATACATTTTATGTGACTCTATGTGACGTAGCCGACTTTGTGTCTGTTACATGTTTGCTCTAACTTTGTGTTTGAGTGCAGTTACGGTAAGGAAAGGCCACGATTGACTCTTATGAGCCCCAATCATGTGAACTAGCTTTGGGCCAAGGTGGAGAATGTTATTTTTTGTGGCCCAAATGACCTTTGTGGATTGCCCAAGAAAAAACACCTTCACGGCCCGGTCTACTGACCCATCTCCTTAACAGAAAATAAGGCCTTTGTACATTTTTTTTTTTTTTTT